GGATATGAGCGGTCGCTGATGATGTTAAAGGCTCGGGACACACAGCGCTGGGATGAAATGTCTTTAACGGAGTGAAGAGGAGCCCCGATAATCCTCTTTGCTGTTCTCACTACTCTTCTCACTTTCTTCTAGTCTGCGGCGCTGCAGCCTCAACATCACACAGTGAGATAGCTGGTCAGAACGCTCTCTATGGATCTTCTGTAGAAGGCTGTAATAATTCAGGTTAAAAAAACATATTTTTTTAATTTATAAAAAAATATGTTTTGTGATCATCTTGATTAACTTCCTTAAGTTACCTAACTTATTAAAGACCATGACTAGTTAAAGATGTGAACTATGGAATATAAAAATGATATGTTGATTTTTACTCACTGTGCCAGTGACAGTTATACACCTTATTATCTGTAAGGATCATATTTTAATTTTGGACCTTTATCAATGCATTTGAAGTAACATCCTAAGAATCAAATCCAAATAATTCTCAACCAGCTGTTAAGCATGCTGGTAGCCACGTCATGCCTATTTCTGAGCCAGCAGTAGTTTTAAAGAATTGGACAAAGTGGGTAGCGTAATAAAACAAGCACCAACTCTAAATTCTTTAACATCAAGCAGGTGCTTGCAGTTTGGAGATAGTTGGTCTTTCCAGCTGAGCCACGATCCCAAACACACATCAACCGTAGTATTGGAATGGATGAAGTATTATGCTTCTGAAATGTCATAATCCCCACTTGGATTTTGGATGGAAACAAAAAGTGTTTGGTTTCTCTGCAACTTTTAAAAATAAACCCTTACACACACACACACACATATATATATGTATATATATATTTATTAAGAGTTTGTATGAAAATTCAATGTTTAAAACTTGATTGAAGGAGTTACGATGACCTAAAAGTTCTGTTGCGTTTCTACCACCTGCTACTCTTTAAAAAGTCCCTAATGGATTGATGGATTGTTTATTGAAGGCAGCAAAACTGTCAGAGGCAACCATTGGAGCTGCAAGCATCTCAGCTAAGAGTGCTCAGTGCATGGATCAATAGGTGGAAGATGCGCTCATCATTCTTAAGGTGGACTTGGATCTAAAGCTCCAACACTAGGTTTTAGGTTTTTTTAAATATCGTCATTTTAGAAGCTGGCACACATTTGAGTAAGGGAATTAACTGCAATAATAACCTGCATGGCAATATTTCAAAGCCATTAAGTTCTATTCTAATTAAAAGCAGGAGTAGAGTTGAATGTGGAAAAGGATACCTTAAAAAGCATCACAATGACAAAACCCTGCCCTCATCTTCACAGAAACATTAGTTGGTGTTTCTGTTAGCTGTTGGATTGCTTACTCATCTGCAAAGAGGCCATAGGTATTTGCATATTTTAACAAATCTACATTAATGCATATTTCGCTTTTGAACATTAAGTTTTACGCTTCAATCTCTTGTCCAAAGTGTCTGGAGCTGCCATATGGAAACAATATATGCTGAACCCATCAGGGTATAGATGACACAGGATGGTAGAAAAACTGATTCTCTCTAAGATGCTATCATAGCCTGCTGAGTGGAACTACAGGCTATTTGAGTACCCTAGGGGACTCTGACCAGGATGCCACAGACATGGTGAAGACATGGTGAGTGGAAATGGGTATGGTTTCTCAGTTATATTGTTTCAAGGTCAGTTTCAGAACGAATAAACCATTTTTAGGGTAGAAGAAATTGCAATAATGCTTGGGTATAAAAATGAAAACACCATACCACACTGTGCAAATAAGAAATACAGTGCATTTATGTCCTCTGGACAAAAACAAAAATAGATATAAGTTGCCCGTGCAACGTGCACGCACTACACATTTGTTTTTATATATATCTTTCTGTCTTTTGATCAAATTCGTCAAATGGGACACGAAGTGTACTCTAAGCAGAAAAATAAGGTATATTTCCAAAGATTTTTGCAGTATCCTCTTTTCCCCAGAAGAGGTCGCGCATGGTTATAATTTACTCCTTAAAACCATCCGCTGGTTACTAATTTGCTCGTGCTTTAAAAAAAACAAACCTTAAACTCGTTTGAACATAAGTTTCAAATTCATATAAATGTTGTCTCAAAATTGCAAAAGGGCGATTGGCCGTTGTAAGTTTTTCTTTTTTTATGCTCACTGCTTTAAATACTACGACTCGGGACAAGGCAGGACTTTGAAGTGTGCATAAATTATGCGCGATTATATCAACAGCGGAGCGTTAAAAAAATCAGACATATCTTAGAGAGTTAAAAGCAACAGCCTCGTCTCAGTGGGAGGGTTTAAAGTTCTGTGTAATAGTTGCGCAGTGTGACTGATGTTTGCAGGTCTTGTTGTGACTGCAAGGTCCTGTTTCAAACACTGGCGTCAGATGGACGCACGGCACCAAGTCAGCCCGCTTCTCCCCGAACAACGTAAATATTGATTGTAACAGCGCCGCATTACGAAGCACTTCGTCGGACTTCTACTTTGGAAAGAAGAAAGAAGAAGAAAATCTCTGGTGTTACTTTGAAGGACCTTTTTTTTTTTGTTGTTGTTGCTCTTCCCCTTTCAACACGACTTTCAGGATTCAACATTTTCCTGCTTTTTTGGGTGGTTTCTAAAAAAAAAAAAAGTAGACCCACCTGTGACCTTCGCTTCTTTGATTAACGTGATATCCATCCGCGGTGGGATTATTTGATCCAACGTCTGGACTTTTCACAAACTTTGACTACTTTTCCCGTTTTTTTCCTCCTTTGAATGCGTTGCAATTATGATGATGATGTCACTGACGCCACTTTTCGCTAAAGTTATGGCGGAGCAGAACTTTTTTAACTTCTCTTGGTGAGCACGACCATCCTATAAACTTAACGCTTATTGTTTTACGCTACTTAAAGCAACGTTGGTTTAAAAAAAGCATGAAAGTAAATACAAAATGAACTAGAAATGCACGGAAGAGAGAAGTAGGACGTGAAGTGTCTGCTTGTGAGGGCCTTCGGGGCAGTATCAGTGTTTTAACTGAAACAGCCAGGCCTCGTGAAAACACGTAGCTACATTTTGCGGCTGCCGTTTGTTAGTTTTAGAAAATCACTTGTGTATTTTCATTGACTTTTTGTATATTGTAGTTTTAGATATTTTATTCGTTTTCGATGGAAAAAAGTGTGGTTTTCCACAGCCCGAGCCATTATTAAGGCTAACACGCTGACAATTACTATGGAGGGTTGCTGGTAGCATTTACAGCAGTTGGATGTCAACAAACAGTTTCACCTGAAATCAGAAATAACTTTAGAGTTATACAGTCATCCTGTGAGTAGGTTAGCGATAAAGAACGAAAAAGGAGGGGTTTTCACTCTGCTTAAATCGAATCAGTCATGTAATTTACCTATATTTATTATCATCTGCACAATACTTGGATAAAATGTCCTTCTTACTGCTTAAAATAAATGTCAGCTAAATTATTCCTTTAGCTCAATGCACACCTTTATTAAAACAGGTTTGTGTGATTTTTTGGCACCAGGAAATACTCTGCTTATGTTTGGAAATCATAAAGTTTGTGATGATAGCATATTTAATACTGAATATAACCACTGTTAGAGTTTAAGTGCATTTAATGATAGATGAATAAAATATATCTTAACAATTCATTAATTGCTCATTATAGTAAAATCAGTCCTATTTAAAAAGTAATCTGATTAATAGGTTTATTCTTGAAATTCTGAGTACTTTTTGATGGTTTGGATAAATTCAACTATAGTTAAAGGTGATTGGTTTTAAAGTAACTGTGCCAAAATGCAAGGGTTTTGTGTACAACTGTGACTCAAACACAGTGGAACTACATATGATTTAACATGAGATTAAAATCCTTTCTGTTGTCCACATTTGGTAATTTATGTCCTATTGTTTATAAAGTGACATATTTGGTTTTTACAATTCTGATACTGTAATGTGGCAATTTTCTCCCCTACATGAATAGCTGTACAGCTTTTCATTGTATTCCAGTGCACTTTATACTGCCTGTTATCTGTGTTTCTGTTTTGCACTGATGCCCTTTTTTGGCCACATTGCAGCTCTGAACTCAAATCCCGCAGCATGTAGGAACTTTAAAGAGCCATTTTTTGTTTTTTTCATTTAGCCTTTTTTCCTTAGCTTTCCTGCACATAGAACATATAAATAGGCCTGGTGGAACAGCAGCAACACCAACAGCAGAGAGAGGGGGAGAAAAAAAAAAAGAAAAAGAACCACCTCTCTAGGGTCAGCAGGTCTTTGTATAAATACAGCAGTGGTAATTAGGAGTTATGCAAGCTGATAGTGCACATGCATAAAGTCTCTGCCAGAAATGGGCAAAAACCCTCTGTATTTACAATATAGCACCGCAGTTTGTAGTGCAAACAAAGCTAAAAGAGAGGGTGTGTGGGGTTATGCGGGCCGTGCTTTTTTTCTTTTCGTTTTTTTTTTTGGCAACTTATTTTTGTCTCTTATACAGTTAGTGTCTGAATAAAATAGACAATAGAGGCGGGGAAAGAAAAGGTTCAGTATATTTTGTCATGCTTGCTTTAAAACTACATACCACAGAGAAATCTGTATGTAAATGTTTGCTTATTTTATGCAGGTCGATTGTTCTCTTTGTATAATTTAAATAGTTGCCATTACCTGCTCCTTAAAAAACTTACCTAATTATTAGCTTAATCCTACAGTTTTGCTCTCAGCAAGATTACCTCTAACCTTATAATGATGTAACTCAAATCTTTTTGTTTTGCTACATTTACTTTTAACTGCAGATGAAAACGGTCCTTGTTGTAATCAGGTTGAGTTCATGCCATCTGTTGGGGTTTCCGTTGTGTTTAAATAAAGAGCAAAGACTGACCAGTTGTAAATTAGCATTGCTTTGTAAAAACGGACGCTACTCAGCATGTATTGGTTCTATTATTATCTGTGATAGTCCTGGCAATGAGAGAAGGCCGATAAAGGTGACGCATGTTTTCTTTTTTCAGACCATTTTAAGTGCTTAGTGTTACTGATGGAGCACTTTCAAGGAGCGTGGAAGACCCTAAGCAACGGCTTCGGCATGAAGGACTCACCGTTTGAGGGCCCCTGCCTTTCCCCAACCATGTTCCAGGGCTTCACCTGCCAGCGACGCTCCTCAGACGACAGCAAGATTCCAGATTCCAAGGCTAACAGCACGATCCGCGTCTTCCTTCCAAATCAGCAGCGCACTGTGGTAGGCCTCTGAAATTTCAGGCTCCGATTGATGCTTCAGAACTAATAGATTTTTTTTTTTTTTTAATGTCATTAATATTTGTTGTGGTTCTGTTAGGTAAACGTACGACCAGGTATGACTCTTTACAGCTGTTTGATCAAAGCCCTGAAGGTACGAGGTCTGCAGCCTCAGTGCTGCGCCGTCTTCCAGCTGCATCCCGGACAGAGAAAGTAAGCTGAGGATATCCGATAATCAGAAATAAGATTATTCAGCCCTCCCACTGTGGGTATTAAATACATTTATTGTGTGTCTATATATTTGTAGTAAAAAATCCCGGATGGACTGGAATACTGATTCAACCTCACTGATCGGGGAAGAGCTACTTGTTGAGGTTTTAGATCATGTCCCTTTGACAACGCATAATTTTGTAAGTAGCTTGACCAATCACAACTTCCCTTATTTGGAAATATAACTACAGGAAAAAAAATGTCTTTACACTTTTATCGTGTCTTTTTCTTCCTTTAGGTCCGGAAGACGTATCTGAAGCTAGCCTTCTGCGACATTTGCCAGAAGTTTCTCCTGAATGGATTCCGCTGCCAAACATGCGGCTATAAATTTCATGAGCATTGTAGCACCAAAGTGCCCACCATGTGTGTGGACTGGAGCAACATTAGACAACTCCTGTAAGTATACCAAAAGGGGAAAATATGTTTCTAATTAATTGGATGTCTGTCACTTGATTCTTGGTTTTAGAGCTGAAAAACAAAGTCAATTTCTGCAGTACGAACTAATACAATACAGGAGTAGGACTTTTTCCCCCATTATCCATACATCTGAACACACACAGAGGATTAGTATTGCATGTATATTTGGTCACACATGTTTGAGAGGTAAATTTCTTTAGCACAGAAAAGATAAAAGAGGGAAGTTAAGCTGTAATGATAGCTGACTTCGGATTAGCTCACTCTTATTTGCATAGCTTTCCACACATGCACTCTGAACAGAGACTTTTTAGTTTTTCCCTGCCTGATGGGTGAAGAATCAACAGTAATTACTAACAAAGAGGAGAATCCCTTTAACCTGACAGCTTCTTTGTTGGTGCATCTTAATAAAACAGAATATTATTATTTAAATTGAAAAACTAGATATTATATGTTGTGAAATATTCAGTGTCTATTTTCTGTCACAAAAAATGAGGTTTTGATAAAAAAATAAAATAATGGAACTTTATTGATCTCACATTGGAGAAATTTACCTCTGCATTTAACCGATCCCCTGGGAAGCAGAAGGCTGTGATTGTGGGGTGCCTAGGGTTAGAGTTTTGCTCAGGGAGCCAGGTTGACAGTCTGTGGGGCTCAAACTCACAACCTCAGGATTCCAAGCCCTATACCCTAACCACTAGGCCACCACTCCCCCTTACTTAAGGATTGAGACCTTGAAAAATATTTAAATGACGCCATTTGAAAGATGGTTTGTTTCAAAAGCTCGTTGCTGAAGAAGGTGGCTTCTCAGATTGCAGTATCCAAGCTTAGTAAAGGAAAGTTGAGTGGAAGGAAAAAGGTGCCCCTTGAGTGTTGAGGGTTCATTCAGTGTTTTAGAGGAGATTCTCCGGCAGATGACTGCTGCTGTAGCCTTGACTTACAGGAAATGCTTCACAATGACATATCCCAGACATTGGTTACAACTTTCCCTTTCTTCCCTTTTTACCTCTCCTTCCTCAGTGATGTCAGAAGCACATTTAGCTGTGGGAACAAAGAAGGACTGGGAGGTGTTTTTCTAAAAGAATAAAAATTCTTTAGAGCATTGCAGTCTATCTGTACATCCTATAGCAGTCACTTCCTACTTTAGAGTCAACATTTCCACAAGTTCCTATAGTTTTTTTTTTTTCTTCTCCATCAGGTTGTGTCCAACACCATCAGAAAGTGGTTTCCCGTCCCTACCACAATTTCCGCCCCGACGTATGAGGGAATCCCTAACCCGGTTTCCGAGGTGAGCTGAACTAACTTGGCTTTACAGCGAGAAGTGATGGAGAAGAAACAGATTGCTAGTGGAACCTTTCTATGGCCGCTAACTTCTAGGAAAGCTTTACAGGGCAATACTTGTTAAATGTTCTAAGATTTATGGCTGAATTTTTAGATGTAAAACAGGTGCCGGCATCAGCCCCAGCAAAAATAAATGGTTCAAAATATAGTTGACACAATTGTATGCATGGCATGGCCACCGCAATGTAATGACCTACAAAATTGAACATCAAAGCGGTTATTTCCGATTGCAATATTTCTCATATTGAAACTGCGATGATGAGTGTGATTAGATATAATGTGCTGCTCTGAAAGTAACTAGATTTTGAGAAAGGCAGGCGGATTAGGTCAAACCACTTTTTAAGTTTCTAGGAGAGGTATCAGTTTTATATCATAAATCACTCCTATTAGTATATCATTAGTCTTTGTAGTCTGTCATTGCTTTTTATGTGGGTTATTGTGTGAGGGTATAACCTTTCAGTAACCAAAGCCATTTCCATATCTCTCTTGGTCGTGTGCAGCGCAAGTGCAGGCACTACCTGCAGTGCCTTGCAATAGTATTTATACAGCTTGACTTTTTGCAGAGATTAGGCACCCTAAAACTGCAGGTTTTAATTTGTTTGGCTGATATTTCATCTGATTCACCAAACTGATGCTCAAGTGTAAAGTGGAAGGAAATGAATAGTTGACTTTATTTTCTCTAGCAAACTGAAGTGTTTTTAACATTATTGCAAAATGGCTCACACTGAAAAAACAGAGAGCATCTTAAAATCTGTGATTATTTAAGTTTTTCCAAAGATTTTGATTTTGATTAAACTGTTCTTAACATAGATCTTTTCCTTACCAACTCATTGCTGTTGTCTGTTAGGTCAACCTTCCCCCAATCTCAAAGTTTATAAATTTATCACAATAGTATTTCCTGTCATACCATCGACATATCCGGGGCATAAGCTTTATGGCTTCCCCTGTATTCCTCTTAACATTGCCCACTGTCCATGACCCTTATTGTGAAATTCAAGCCCACAGCATGATGCTGCCACCGCCTCGATCAATGTTATTTTCCCACAAAATAACAAATTATTTTCCCTCTTATTCTTCCAGTTATGGGCTACTTTGAGTTGATCTGTTGTTTAAAATGATAAAAAAATACATGCATATATATTAGGAAGTTTGTGGTTTTAAGTATCCAAATTTCAGTCAGGTGAGTTTTTTGTGTTTTGGTCTAACTACACCTTTGATCTACTTCAACATCTACTGCATGCCAATGAATATTTGTACTTGCTAAAATTAGAAAGTGTAAGCCTGTATGGGCAGACCTTAGATATGAGCAGCAGCCAGGTCATTTTAAGATTAACATACCTGGCTGGTAAGTTTTGTACTCTTTAACTGAGCCAGGACTGGTGTTGGCAAAATGCCTCTGCAACTTTGACACAACAAACAATGGCTCAAAGGGGAAGGCTGTAATAAATATTAACCAATAAGTTACTTCCCCAAAAATCTTTTACTTTAACCTTTTTTTCCCCCTTTGTGCGCTTATCCTTTTGATTAGGTGTGTTACCCACTCTGTTGTCTGTTTCTGTGTCAAAGATGTGACTTCAGCCCATATTCTAAAAAATAAATACCTGAAAAGGAGTAAACGTGACAGAAATTAAACCAGCACACCCACATTGGACTAATTTTAAAGAACTTTCTGAAATGAATGTTAGTTACAGTAAAAAGGTTGTTTATCTGTGGGTCAGCAGCTTGGTTTTTATTCCATTTATTCAATAATTCCTTTTCTTTATTCTTGTCCTCTATTTTTTTCCCAGCTCGATCCACCGAAACTCGACCCCTCATGCCTTTAACTACGCCCCGCCATACCAACCTGCAGGCAGCGGTGGGCTCTCCCAGAGGCAGCGCTCCACTTCTACACCTAATGTCCACATGGTCAGCACGGCGCTGCCTGTAGACGGTAGCTCATTCGAGGTAAGCTTCGTCCAGTTGTCTTAGACCTTAAAATGCTTATATCTTAGAGATTCCCTCAGTCTTTGACTTGCATTATTTAGCTTTGTTTTAAGTCATCCTCTGAACAGTGTATTTATTTAGGCCCTAGATGGCATCTTGTTTCAGCTTTTTTTTTTTTTAATGCCCTTACACTTTTTGACTTCCTCGTTCAGTTCCAGTTTCTGCTTTATCACCATCACTAGGGTTGCATAATCAGCTCACATGTTTTTCATGATTTCTGCTCTACTTAGTCCGTTTAAACCCAAAACATGAGGTTCTTTTCTTATTTCATCCCCATTTTCTTAACTCTTCCCTTTTCCTCCTGTCTCCTCACCGGTCTTTTTATATTGTTTACTGGGGAGTAGCTAGACTGTCTGAGTACCTCTCACAGCTCCTGGTGCCGTAGATTCTGGCTGAAGAGGAAAGTAGGTTTTGTGCACTTTCCCGAGACTTTTGTTGAGGCCTCGTCTGAGAGTCCAGAAAAGGTTAGAAGGCAGAGTAACTGTGTGCGACCTGAATGCATGCCTTGCAAGTGGGTTATCTGCACTTTCATCTCAGTAATGCAGATGTCGCGTGATGAGTGGCAGATGGCATCAATTTTAGTGTTTGTGTAAGCTTATTAAAAATAACCTGTATTTTTTTGTGTGTTAATTTGTGTTTCAGGATGTCATGCGGGATCATGACTCAGGTGAGTTCCGCTTAGCATGTTAATATTATTGTTTATTATATTCCTCACAGGAACTATAAATTGTAAGCTTTTGACTTTTCACCCCATTTTAAATTATGCGTATGTTTTGATCATGTAAAAGAGAAAGCTTAATATTTGAGGAATATGATGGAAGATCAAGCTGGTTGAAATGGGACATTGAGCAACTAGTTTTGGTAATTTTCATTTGTACTTCCTCAAATCAAACTTTCCCTTCTACAATTTTTTAGGGTTGCTTGTGGGTGTGGAATGTGGAAACGAATGGAAAGTTTAGATCCAGTTGCCTGAATTAAATTTGCATCCACCTTCCTTTTGAAGGTTAATTATTGGTCTCTAAGAACAGATAATGTACAATACCTTGGAAAAGTAACCTTGCCTGCAAGCTGAATTCTTGTGGTATTTGTACTTTCAAACACTCTTGATCCGTTGTAGGTTAGCCAATTATGCTGCAGCGTTATGGTTTATAGCCAAAAGCTGCCAAGCCAATAGAAACAGAACAGTGCAGGAGGACGTTCGCATAGCTGCTGCTATCACATCCGTGTTGTCGGAATCCACGATTTGATCTTTTAAAGAGGAACAGCAAGGGCATAAAAGTTTAAGTTGTTGTGGTTTCTCTTTCCATCTGCTGCTATTTCATTTGTAACCATGACTGGCTAAAACCGTTCTGCTGAAATCCCTGAACAAATTCGATTGGAGCAGTCCCTGATTTATATTGTTATTATTATCAGTTATATATTCTAATATCTATTGTTTAATTACTGATATCAAAACTCCATGGAGTCCTGACCCCAACTTTGGGAATCTGTTATAAAGTATTAATTATTGGCTTATTGGGGTTGAATACAAACTCAAACTGTTGAGGCTTTTCATTACAGACCTTTGGAACTTTTACCACTACTCAATAGAGAGAATCGTGACAAATGGATATACAATATGATATGCCAACTGCTCTGCAACCCAGAAGATGCCATTACAGGGGTTCTATGTATTGAATAACACACCTTAGCTACATTGATGCTGCTAAAACCAAATGCTGCCAAGTTTATACTGTAGAATTATGAAACGGCTTCTTTATTTTATATAAAACATTGAAATGTTCTGGCTCAACAGAACAAAATGTTAAAAAGTTAATTACATATAAAAACTTATGCTTCAGTTTAATCACTTCTGATCAAACGGCTTGTACAAGCACTGGTAAAAATGATTAATGAACGCTGTCTTTTGGTTTTGTTGTGATTTTTCTCCTATAGCTGGAAGTTCCCCCAGCCAGAGCCCCACAGGCTGGACACAGTCCAAAGCCCCAGCTTCCCATCGAGAAAGAGCCTCATCCTTCAACACTCAGGAGAAAAATAAAATTGTATGTTCTGCCTTTTATGTTTTTAATACATGTTTTTTTTTGAGTGAATAGTTGCGTCATTCTTCGGTTCCTGTTTATGCAGAGGCCTAATCGAGATTCGAGTTATTACTGGGAAATTGAGGCCAGCGAGGTTTATCTACATTCCCACATTGGTTCAGGCTCTTTTGGAACAGTATACAAAGGAAAATGGCATGGTAAGAATGGTAAAAGATACAAACATTGCAAAGTTTTTACGTCATTGCCTCTCATCTTTAAGTGTTTCTCCTGTAGGTGATGTTGCAGTGAAGATATTAAAGGTTACTGACCCAACACCGGAGCAGCTTCAAGCATTCAGAAATGAAGTGGCCGTTCTAAGGTAATCTCTTACAGGAACATGTTTACTCTGTTACTTATGTTACTGCTAAAGAAATTCAGATATATTGTTGTCTTTTTGGTACAATGACAGGAGAGACTCTTTTCCAAAAAAAAAAAAAAAAAAAAAAAAAAACTATCCCTCAACAGTTGCAAACTGACAAATTCAGAGTGAATCATCCTCACTTCAAAACTTTTATGTGACAGTGTCTTCATTTCCTCATTGCTTTGTGCTCTGCAGGAAAACCCGACATGTCAACATCCTTCTGTTTATGGGCTACATGACGAGGGACAACCTGGCCATCGTGACGCAGTGGTGTGAGGGGAGCAGCCTTTACAAACACATCCATGTCCTGGAGACTAATTTCACCATGATCCAGCTCATAGATATTGCCAGACAGACAGCTCAGGGCATGGAGTAAGTTACCAAGAACGGAGCTTTGATACAAAATGTCTCCGGCAGCATGATTCATTTTTCCTTTTCTTTTTTCCAGCTATTTACATGCAAAAAACATAATTCATCGTGACATGAAGTCCAACAGTATCCTTTTCTACTATTTTTTTCCATTCCCTTTAATGTGTGGCTTTACTGTGAGTGAAGCACAAAGTCAGCCTTTTTCCTCAGTATGTTTAGATGTAATACCTTGACATCTGCACAGACATCTTTCTGCACGAGGGGTTAACTGTAAAAATCGGCGACTTTGGTCTTGCTACTGTGAAGTCCAGGTGGACTGGGTCACAACAGGTGGAGCAACCCTCTGGATCCATTCTTTGGATGGTTGGTGCATTTCAATGAACTTGAAAACAAAATAAAAAAAAGAAGCCATGTCAACCTTTGAGCATCCGGTTTCAGAAACCCAGCCTTTTCCCAACTACTGAACTCTATATTCTTTAGTGTGGATGCAGTTATCGAGGGAATGAAAACTGATTTTGGGTTGTCCTTTATGAAACAAAGAATAGTCAGGGGATGAAAAAACATGCAAGAAGCTGTTTTAAAGGAAGCTATTTTGAAATCAGGGAAGATGAATAATTTTATAGCAAATAATTCAACTCCGAAGGACAACTCACAGATTTATTTTTGCATGTACTGGTGTTCTACTAATTCAGAAGAGCCCAAAGGGCTGCCTGTGGAGAGACCATTGCTTCTTTGTTTATTGAAATTTAGCCAGGAAGCACAACGGGTTGATAACCATAGATACTTTTCCCTATCTGACTTTTCACTAATAGATTAATATCACATACAACAAGAAATGTCTTTTATTATCCTTAATTTTTACCAGATTTTAGAATAAATAGCAACACAGACTTCCATTCTAAAGCAGAGGCAGGCTAAGACTCAAAAAGCTTGGCTTTAGTCGGTAAGCTTTTGAAAGAGAAAAGGTGTCTTTTTGCCCAGAATAGATTAAAAAAAAATCTAAAATCTTAAATACATTTAAAAAAAATGTATTTAAAGAAAACCATGTGTTAAATATTCTGGGGTAACCCTCATGTCTTTCCTTATTTTATGTAATGCTCTCTCCAAAAGCATCAGTTTCCTTAAAGGAGCAACAATCCTTTATCTTAGACAGAAAGAACTAAAGAATATTAATGTGTACATCTAAAGGTTTTTTTTTTTTTTTTTTTTTAGATGCAATATGGTGTGACATCAAAAAATCTCTCTGTGGCATTCTCCAACTGAGCCAGCCACTCAGGACTTTAAATTTTACCCCCAAGCTGATCAGAATTTTCACCCGGGATGATAGTTTGCCAAAATGAAATTCCCTTGCTGACAGCATTTGCAGCTATGAGTTACTTAGTACTTCATTAGACATGTTTGTCTGAAAGGTGACGCTGTTTTTCTTAGTATTTATGCTTAAAAAATATCCACATAGAAGGTGGTTGGTGAGAAGGGGAGGGGAAGGGGGGTTCTGGACAGAGGGTGGTCTGTTAGATGCTGAAAACCTTGAGAATCCAGAACTCAGTGGTGTTTTTTTATTTCGAATTGGAACACTTCAGTGTGATAACAAATTTGCTCCAAGACTACATAATGAATGACTGCTCAAAACGGAAAGGCTATGAAAAAATATTTATGAAATTGTAATATTATACGGTAATGGATCTTGAAAGGACAACAGAAATTTCTAAAGAGTGATCTTAGTAGCAGAGGTTTTGGCTTTTACGACACCCAAATCTCAATATATTAAAAATGTTTACAAAACTCTAATTGCCAAATTTCTTTAATCTTCATTTTATTTTTTTATTTTTATTGTAAAGTTAACAATAATGTGTGCATCATTTACAGGCTCCAGAGGTGATCCGAATGGAGGATAACAATCCCTACAGCTTCCAGTCTGATGTCTATTCCTATGGAATCGTTCTCTTTGAGCTGATGACTGGAGAGCTCCCATACTCCCACATAGCAAGCCGAGATCAGGTGAAATCCTTTACATGTCTGGCTCTTCTTCAGGTGGCCAAATTTAAATTTTTCATTTGTATTTCTTGGTTGTTCTCCTTTTTCGTTAAAGGTTTTATAAAGGTGTCATTGGTACCCTTATCTGTAGTAGGCAGGGATTTTGTTTGAAGAGAAATGAAATTTTCATGGAAAAGGTCAGCTTTTACAAAGTCTGTTGAACAGATGTCTAGCTTATTTTAGCAACTGAATACAGCTTAAAGTTAGAAATCTGAATATTTAAACTTTGAGATATGTTGGACTAATCAAGTTAAGGTAAGTATCACTTGTAAAACTATCAAAAAATTTAACTTAAATAATCCAAACTGTGCAGCAATAGTTTTCGGTATTTTGTTTGGAATAACTGTGACACTGCAATCAGACATTTTCCCCAATTTCAAATCTGTGGTCATGAAAACACTCTGCTGCCATCTGATGGGGGTTGTTGGGCTGGCCTATGGCCGACAGAGACCGACGACTTGGAGCCGCCGGCCTAATTTTAGATCTCGTAATCCAACCCTGTGAAAAAAGGGGTTCTCAAGTTTGCATTTCAGAGTTTAAGTCCTGCCTTTTTATAAAATCCATTAGGGTAGAAGATCTGGCTAATTAAGATCTGGGTTCTCATCTGTATAGAATAGGACTTAAGCGTTTAAGAACTTGTGCCTAAAATAGTATTAGGGTCTATGCAGGAACCTGTTCTTCCTGATCCGGTGGAATGACCTTGTACTCGGGTGAACTTGCAGGCACATGGAGTACTGCTGTCATCTTTTATCTCTGCACCATCATGCCCTCATACCTTTACAATGGCTGTAATGTTTTAGATGTCTGCCACCTTAGTCTATCTCACCATATTTAAAGTTATATCCATCTGAATGACCGCTGTTTCAGGGTGAATGTCGGCTTCCCTTTTAGTTCATATTCAAATATATACAGATATTTTTACTCTTTATTTTTCATATTTTGTCTCTTCTACCAACAAAAGTTGCTTTTGCTCAGCCGTATTAATGCACCAGCGATACAGGAACAGCTTTAATTATTAAATGTGGCCTGAATAGTTCAATACCCCCACCACCCTCACCACCCCCACCACTGAATCGAGGTAACATTATACTGCTGCAAATATCTTTTCTAAAAGGAGTACAGCTTAAGAGAATACAAACATTACATTTCTAAAAGAACTAAAATTGAGTAAAACTCAAAATATTAAGATTAATTTTTGCATAGCTTGTAAAAGCCTTTCTGCTCATTTTCAAATGGCTTCAAGTTATCGTTGCAGATTGTATTTCTCTTAAATGAGTTTTTGTTAATGTAACAAAACATTGCAGGAAATGATACAAGTCTAAACTTTTTTTTTGCAAATTTATTTTTTTAGTACTCTTGTGGTTTAGCCTATGACTGCATCAGATTGGCATGTCTAGCAAAAGTTAAATTTCTTTGCAAAATAGCTCAAGATCAGTCAGATTAGAAGGGAATGTCTAAACATTTAGTACTTCTCACAGTTTATTAGATGTTTAGTATGGACTGAGTTGCTATTGGTGGAAGGTGGACAGCTCCATTATCAAGTCTTTGTTGACTTTAACAAAATTGAGCATTATTCAGCTCCATTTACGTGGTATATTAGGCCTTCTTTTCCCTGATGAAAATGAAGCATCCCTGTAGCGTGATGCTGCTAGCATCATCTCTCATTGCAGTTCTGATCTGTTTGAAGTAATTCACTTTTATTTTTTTCTTAAACACATAAAGGTACATTGCCTTCCTTTGATAGTGGCTTTGCCACGCTTCCATAAATACTGGAGTTTTATCATGCATGACCAGAAATTTTTCCTACTCTCCTTGTGCTGCCCATCAGGTTAGGTGGACAGAGGTGTTGTGATATTTTTTTTTTTTTAGATGTGAAAATAGTTTTTTTGGTCTAGTTTTTTATTTTTTTATCTGGTATTGTACTAGTTCCTAACTATCTTTTTTTTTTTAAATAATACTTTTCACAAAACAATCACATTTGCAGAGATAAATTGCATCTAAGTGGAGTTTGTTTCCTAATTGGATGACTTCTAAAGGGATTTTTTTCAGGCTATAAAATGCTTTTGCGAGACTGTAATTTCTAAATCTGATTAGTTGTCCTCTCAGCTTCATCAAGTCTTTGTAACTCCTCCCATTAGATTATATACATGGTGGGAAGAGATCGTTTGTGCCCAGACCTCAGTAAGCTCTACAAGAACTGTCCCAAAGCCATGAAGAGGTTGGTGGCTGACTGCATCAAGAAGTCCAAGGAAGAAAGGCCGCTTTTTCCGCAGGTGAGCTCCTCTTTTGTTTTTGAGGCTTTTGGACAGAATCTTTAATATTTTTCCAATTAATCTGTTTGTAATTTCCCTTTATATTATCTTGTTCTTAGATCTTATCCTCCATTGAGCTCCTCCAGCACGCCCTCCCTAAGATAAACCGCAGTGCCTCAGAACCGTCCCTGCACAGAGCCGCACAGACCGAGGAAATCAACGCCTGTACTCTGACCACCAGGCTGCCTGTTTACACATAGGCTCCTCCTCAGCAAAAAAGATTATGCCGCACTATCAATAAACTCGTATTCCCTCCCTAAAGACATTTTTATAGAACAATGCACATGCAATCATTCATAAACCAATGTTAGGCAATGAATATGTTAGTAAAGGAGTTAAACGGGAGGAGGAGCATCAGAGATTACGTATGGAAGATTGCAATCAGATCCTAACATGAAGATTTCAGTGTAAGGTACTTCCCATGAGCATTAAGAAGTACATTGAGGCTTTGTGTCTGTATGGTATTTGATTTAAGTTGTATATAGAAGCACACACACGCCTACCTGAAACAACGATGAATGGACACTGAAGGAAGCTCAGGAGACGCGTGTTTCCTGATCTGTTTTCTGTGATGCCTTGCTTTTATCAGGCCTGGAGAGGGACTACTCAAGCTTAGCTGCCTTAGAAGGAAACAAAGCCTGGGCTAAGTTTCAGCACAACTTCACCTCTTCTGGTCTTCACAAAGCCACTGGAAGCAGCTCTAGTTGCACAGTAGCTGATTCTGTTTTGTCTTAAATAATTTGTTCTTTATTTAGGGCTTATTTTCGAAGACTTGAGGGTTTTTATGGCTTTCACTAAACTGGTTTGTGGATGCCCACACCCTTACTATCGTTTGGTTATCATGAGCTGGACATTCGGCATGCGTCTTAAATATTTTCAGTGATTTGGGAACTAATTTTGTTGTTTGTAACCTTGAAGAGGTGAAATGTTTTATTTTGAACTTGGTGGGAAGGTCGTCTATTCAATATTTTAATAAAATTAAGTTAAAAATCCTTTGCAGACATAGGCCGACTTGGTCATGTTTATTTTTGCTTTAGAGAAGTGTCTGTTACTCATCACATCCTGTACAGGTGCACCTCAAAAAAAGGATTAGTCGTGTAGGTTATTATATTTCTGTCAATTTAGATAATAAAATCTGCAACTAATGTAAACCCCCCCAAAAATTCTGTCCCCTCATGGAATCAGAATATTTAATACAATTAGGAATAAATGGGATTTTTTTATTAAAAAACTGCTTATACTGGTTAGGGGTATGACCAATTTATAGCTGCCCAAGTCGAGTCTTTTTTTTTTTTTGGGAGAACTTTCGTTTTTCCTTCGTCGATCAGGAAATTTGTTTCTTTTTTATGATTTTTGCTTCTTGTGAATGTGTTGAAGCTTTTTTTTACTGATAAATTGTTCTTGTTGGATACTTATGTGTAAACACAGCAACCATAGCAAGTAGATTTTTTTTTTAATACAAGGCGCAAGCGAATTAATATCTTTAAAGCTGAAATACCGCATCGACTATTTCTGCACGTACCAACTGAATTGGAAAAAGAGGCGACGGGAATGCAGAGCAAGATCAAGGAGACCAGATTGGAACAAGAAATTTAAGCAATCTCTTCTGTTAGTCATCATTTGCAAAATGACTTGGGGAAACATTTAGAAGAATCCTAAGCTAAAACCATGCAGCAGCCAGAATATCGCAAATTCAGCATTGTGTCTTACTGAAACATGGCTGCAATGTATCTCTGACTCCAGTGTCTCTCTGCCAGGCTTTATGACCATATGAGCAGAGAGACTTAAAGAAGACTGGAAAGTCAAAGAAGGTGGCTTGGCAGTGCTTGTGAACAACAGATGGTATCATCCAGATATGTTTATGTGAGGATTTGTCACTATTGCCGATATATTGAACTACTGGCAGTTGGTTTTCGGCCATATTATTTGCCCAGAGAGATTACAGGTGCTCTGTTAGTAACCGTTTAAATTTCACCTTCCATTGCCAACGCTGCATTTGATCTAATCAGTTCCGTTTTTGCAAAGCCCGAGACACAACCAGATGCATTTGTGGCAATAAGTGGTGATTTAATCACGCCTCACTTTCTGCCATCTGCCAAAGTTAAAAACTTTGGACCTGTTTAATGCATTTATGACTCACGCATCTTTAAAGTAGGACCTTCTCTTGGAAAATCAGATCACAATCTTTTTTTTTCCTGATCAGATTATAAGCCACTTTATAAGATACAACCTACAATAAAAAAAAACTGAAAGAAGATGGTCTCATGAAGGAAGGAGGAAGCCCTGCAAGTTTGTTTTGAGGATACAGACTGTGATCACTGTCAGCCAGATGTAGAGGACATCAATGCAACAAGTTAGTCTGTGACTGACTACATAAACTTCTGGGTTGATAACGCCATCGCTATTAGAACAGTGAAATGCTTCCCAAACAATAAATAATGGATCTAAAGCAACTGCTCAACAAGAAAAAGCAAGTCTTTAAGAATTGAGAAGCAAGTTAAGATGAGGAAAAGTGAAGAGGCTGGACAAAGAACTCCAGCAAAACAATATCAGAGATGTGTGGTCAGGGATGAAGAGGATCACAGGCTTCAAGCAGGAGGAATAAATAGGTTTATTTCCTGAACAAGCTTAGCATCCATCTCTCTTGCTCTGTCACGTGGACATCTGGTCCTCTGCCATTGACCACTGTCAGGTTTTTATGGAACTAGTGGCTAATTTAATCTGTACAGTGGGCTGACAGGAAATGAGGTATGAATGAGGGTTAGAAACGTGTAGCAAAGGACCACAGGATGGATTCAAACCTGGGTCGGCCACATTGAGGACTAAGCGAAGCACACCCAGTAACTACAACATTTAATTAAGGTATTTTCTAAATTGAATTTTAATATAACCAATTGCCAAGTGAGAGCATATCTGTTGCATCAAGTCATCCAGTTGATGCCCAAACCCCTGGCATATGCATTCAATATTTGGTGTATACTTTTGTATCATTTATTGCTTCATTTATGCTGCTAAAGAGGTCTAGAAGCCCAGGTCTTCTTACAGTAGATCTGGTATTTTCCTCTTAACATTTATCAATAGATCCTCAGTGGGGATTAGTCAATCTACCTCGCATTGGGTCATTTGTGCTTTTGGTAGTGTGGACAGTTCATAAACCCTGAGTGAAAATAATATCGGCTTCTCCACAGATTTTGTCATCACAAGGTAACATGGAATGCTCTAACACTGGCTCTCCAAATCATAACTATAAAAACCTATTTAGATCCACTTTCTCCACACTGGGTCTTGATTTCCAAATAAATGCAGCAATTACCGGTATGTTAATCTAAAAACAGATTTGTGGCGCACTAAAATCCAATCCAATCTGTACTTTTTATGTCAGCTAAAATGTTTCTGACAAATGTAATAGAACATGTCCCAGATAGATAGATAGATTGTGTGGTTATGCTTAAAGCAGTGATTCGAACTGCAGCTGACACCATCTTGAAGTTTCAGGGCAATTTGCTTACCAATAACTAAAGTATGTCTCTATCTCTGTTTTTATGCACCTTTCTTTACCACATTTTTTTTCTTTCACTTAACTAAATATATAGTATATGCTTGTGTGCAACTCTCACATATAAAGTTAATATACTTTCTATCAGTGGTTGTTTTTTTTTAAGTTACTATTTTATGAAGCTGCATGAACTGCACCTGATTAGATTATTTTTTCTTTTGTGACCTTTCAGTGCCTTTTGAAAGGCTAATATGAGCACACTAAACACAAGGAAAGAAAAACTGCACACATAACCTTTATTACTGAATATGGATGTGTAACTGTGTTAAATTTATCTCCAACAATGCAAATAGTTGTGTGCGCATAAGGACATTTAGAAAATATACAATCTTCTACAATAATAGCAATAATTGAATCCTTTTATTAGATTTGGAAGGCATTGATGTTGACAGGTGGAGCCCCATCCAGCCTTCTGACACAGCTAAGTCCCACACAGAAGCAAGACTTTGCAGCAGCGTGTAATGTTTGCTATAGCACTGTAGCAACGCGGTCTGGGGATCCAGTTCACATACACCACCAAGGGATTCCACCCTTGGCTGATGCCTCTGTGTATTTCACAGCCACTGGCGGGTGCTCTGGAACAACAACCATCCTGCAGGCAGGGGACCAGAAGTGGAAAGAGACAGGACAGTTGTATTTTGTTTGAGTATAAACATTCAGCAGGCTGTTCCTGTGGGGTTTTGCCACTCAGTGTTAAGGTTTGCTGTAAACATAAGAGCTATATATGGGAATAACTTTATTTTGTTTTTTATGGACTTTTGAAATGGTGCCAGGTTAAAAAAAAACAGCTCTCTTTAGAAGATCTTAAGCTGTTTATATGGCCTTGTTTGGATAAAGGCTCATACCCAGGAGAAGGAGCCAATCTGAAATGTGTTGCAACCAAAGAGCAAAGTCTTTACAGCTTTTTTTTTTTTTTTTTTAATCTGATCTATACCTGCATCAAATCAGCTCAATGGACCATCTGTCAGGCAAACAGCACCATCTAGTGTGGGTTCTAGAACAAACTCTGTTCTTGAAGAATCCACATACACCACATTTATTGGAACTCTGAAACAAAAATTAAATCAAGAGGTATTTTTTCTTGGGATGTCTTGTAAGATGCAAACATTAAAATTTATTTAACTCTGAGTTCTCCCTTATGACTTAAAAGACAGAAAATGTTGAACAGCTGCAGGTCTGGCTGTGAAAAAACATGAATATTGTAGGCCTGGGGTCACCAATTTCTATAACCATAATAGCTGTAACGGGTAAAATACGTGTTGAAAATGCAATCATTTTTCTCAGTAAATATATTTCTAGAGGTGCTGTTGATATGACTTTTTTACCAGATGTTGGTAACAATCCATGCACATACAAAGAAATTAAACCATATATCTCCAGAAATTAAGTAATGTGGATTAATGTGGAATAGCACAGGGAAAAAGTATTGATCACATATTTATCTTTAGCAAACCTATACTTAATTTCTGGACCTCTATGTTTTGATTTCTTTTAATGTGTTTATTTTATTGATTGTTTCCGACATCAGGTGAAAATGTCATGTCAAATGCATCTCTAGAAATGTATTAACTGAGAAAAATAATGGTATGTCCAATACTTATTTTACCCGCTATATTTCTTGGGTGCTGAATCATAGGAAAGCGTACTAATACTGACCTATGAACTGGAGGAGTCGACCTTTTCCTAAACCTCTTGCTTAACATTCATAGTTTTATTGTTTTTCTTTTAATTTTTTATTTTCTTTTAGTTATTGTCATTATTGTCATGAAATCTATATAAATGCAATTTTGGTTAAAAAAGAAGAGCAACTGAATAAAAGAAAATTTCTTTTGTTTTCAGAAGGTGCAGACCTCCTGTGGTCCTTTAGGGCCCCTTGGTGCCAACAGGCACCGCACTGGTGACCCCTACTGTCGGCTTTGATTATAGACTGTTTGACTCTGGCTCTATGTTTATTGTCATCGTCCTCATAAAAGGTGAACCTCTGCCCTAGTCTCTAACTGTTTGCCCCACCTATTGTTCCCATCAACTCCGATCAGCTTCCCTGTCCTGCTAAAGAAAACCATGAGGCTGTCATCCCCATATTTCAGTGTGCTTGCTCAGGGTGTAAGTTTTCTCCTCCACATATTGTTTTGGATGTAGACCAAAAGGTGTAATTTTGATTCCATTGAAGCGGGCAACCATGTTCCCTTTTTCTGTTTTACCTACAGCCAAGGAGGACATTTTTTGTTACTGTCCAACAAGGTTGTCTTTATTAATATATGTTAATAACAGTTGAAAATGTTTTACCAAGAAGGCGACTGCGACAGTTGTTTGGAATAGATTTAATAACTGAGAACATATACATCACACTTTCCTGATTATGCTCTGAAATCTGAGTCGTTTTTCTTTCACTTCACAATCAGAAAATACATATTCTTGGGAATA